AGAGTTGGAAAAGAATAGGGGGAAAATGGGGGGAAAAATGAAAAATAGGAGTGGGTTGGAGATGCTCTAAGTGGATTAGTCATACATTAGCTTTTATGTATTATTTACTAGTAGTTATATTATCTTTTCTAAATTAGAAATACAAGTAAATTAGTCATTTCTATTTTTTTTTCATTATCAAAATCTTACGTTAGTAATTACTAGTACGGATCCTTGTCTACTATTAGAGACGAAGAACAAGATGTAGGCATTTACAAAGAGTAAAACCATCAACATCATTGCAATGATGCTAATCTTATAATTGTGTCACAACAGCTTTTGTAATTACCACTCACATCAAAACAATAAAAATTCTCTTTCAAAGTGGATCAACAACTAATTAATAATTTTTAAAATATATCTTAAATTAATTATAATTAATAATGTAATATATATATATATATATATATATATATATATATATATATATATAATATAATATAATATAATATAACTTTGCATATAAATTTATTTAATCGTTTTACTCATCCATCTATCTATGAGGCATATTTCCAAGCTCTAAACTAATTTGAAACCTCGTGTATTTTCATATTTTCTAATGACTTTCCATTGCTTTTTATAACTATTATTAATTTCTTTAACATCAAACATGTTATATAAACTATTACATGTGACTTTAGATTCTATATTTCTCTCTTTAGTTATTGGTTTTCTTAAAATGTTTCTAGCCATGAATATTTATGCAATGCGTTTATGAAATGTTGCTAACCTTTTGTGTTCATGTTATTCTCTCTACATTGATTTGAAACCCTATGTCTTTTTATATTTTCCACTGATTTTCCATTGCCTTTTAATAACTATTATTAATTTCTTTAACATCAAACATGCTATATAAACTATTAAATGTGACTTTAGATTCTATATTTTCTCTTTTTATTCTTAGTTTCCTTACAATGTTTCTACCCTTGAATGTTTATGCAATGTCTTTATGAAATGTTGCTAACGTTTTGTGTTCATATTTTTCTTTGGTAGATTTCATATAATCATCTATATTCTATATTATACTATAAAAGAGGCATATTTCCAAACTCTACATTGATTTGAAACCCCATGTCTTTTCATATTTTCCAATTGTAATGTTTTGGAAGACAATATTGATTAATCATTCAAACTAAACTCGAAGAAACATAGTTTATGAAGATCAACCGAAAAATAAGTAATGTAATGTGTTCATGAAATGTTACTAATGTTTTGTGTTCGTGTTTTTCTTTGGTCATTTTCATATAATCAAAATTGGAATGCTTTGGAAAATAATTTTGATTAATCATGCAAGCTAAATTCAAAGAAGCATAATTTATGAAGATCAACCTAAAAATAGGTAATGCAAAATGTTTTTCTTTCATTTACCTCAATCATATTATTTTATATTTCCAAAATAAACTTTAAGTTGGATCTATATTTGCTCAAAAATATAGATAACTTAGAGTCAATTATTGTATTAACAATGTTTATTTAAGTTTTTTAATTATACTTTATAAAATTAATTTTTTATTTAAAAATTACAGCTTTATATAACTATTTTTAATGTTTGTTTGGTGTTATGGATATAAATGGTGTTTGGATTTATGTTATAACTAAACAAAAATGGTAAAGAGGTGTAAGTTTGGATTTATGAAAGTTTTAAAGGGTGTTCGTATTATTTAAGATGATTAGTTATAACAAAACGAATGGTTGACGACACTTTACGGTGAGATTCAATTATCTATAATATTAATATTAAGATTATTATTGTTTAAACATTTGATAAATTCAAATTATGTAAATAATTAATTATTGAAAACATTAATATTTGCACACAAAATTTACCAAGATATATTAAAAAAATATGACATGTAATTTTAACTATTGCACCATTTTGATTTAAAACTTATACAATTAATCAATTTCCAACTACTTAACTGTCACTAATTTAATTTTTAAACATTAAAATCATTTGAAATTTTAAATAAAGTGCCTCATTTTTAGTTTTCACATAAAATATATATACTTAAATTATTGATTTCACATACTTATTGATTTGAAAAAACCTATTAACTTTTTTAGCTTCCACTTAACAATCATTAATTTGATTTTAAATATATTAAACTCATTTATTGATTTGAAACTTATACAAGTCATCAAGTTCCAACTAAATAACTATTTTAATTTCATTTTTAGTAATTAAACTCATTTGTAATTTTAATTTTAATTCCAAGTCTTCATACCCAACATAAAATATATTTTGTTATTGATTTTTTACACCATATTGACTACACAACTCTTCAAATTCCAACTAATTAATCACCATAAATTTGATTTTACTTATTTATAATTTTAAATTTAGAGTTAACTATTCAACTTTCAAAATAAAATATATTTAAACTTATTGGTTTATATCAAATAAACATGAAAATGGTTCAAAGACTATTTTTAAACATTTACAAAAAAAAGTATAGGGTTAAATGTAAAACTTAAATCGAAATGTGAAATTAATTAAAAGGTTAAATAAAAACTATTTTTTTACAATAACGCGATCTTTTCCAAATTTATAGCTTTTGAGTTAATTAACGATAACATTAGATTAAAAAAGTTAAAAACTATATTATGTTATTTTGAAAACAATGTTGATATTTGAAACGATAATTATTATCGAAAAAATTATTTTAATTATTTTCATGCATAACATGCATATAAAGACAATTAACATGGTGTAGTTTTAGTTAGTGTTCTAAAAGGCGCACCATGGCGCTCGCCAAGGCGTGCCATTGCGTGAGGTGTGGCTTCGCCATTATGAAAAGCCTTATAACATTGTTGTTAGGCGTGTTGCGTGGCAATGAGTGATATGGCGTGTTATGGCATGTTATGACGTGTGTTTTTTCGTTTGATACACGTTTTTTTGCTCTTTGTTATGTCTTTTCTAATCAGGGATACAACTATTATGTTTTTTGTTAACTTTTTGTTATTAGTTATTGATATAACACTTCTATAAACTAGTTATACTTGATATAAATTTATATTTATGTGGTAATATAGTTATAAATTAATATAAAATCGTCGTCTTGCATCACGCCTTGAAAAACGTCATGACTCGTAAAGCTTAAGGTTTAACCTTGCCGCCACGCCACGCCTCACGCCATTTAGAACCTTGGTTTTAATATATCTTTATATTATCATATATTTAAAATATTTTATATCTACTGACCTTGGTTAATTTTTGTACAATGTACGGGTATTTGCCTAGTTATTATGATAAAATGGTAAAATGGTAAAATGATCGTTTTTATCATTCAACACACCGATTCAGAAGTTCTAAACAAACAAAACGTTAAAATTTAGGTCTTAAAAATTCAATCCCTCCTAGAAATTCAAAATTTTTAAAAATTTAGATTTTAAAAATTCAGATAGTGTCAAACAAAGTCATTGTTGTGTCAAACAACCTCAATGTTGTAAACAAACTCAATGTTGTGTCAAACAACCTCAATGTTGTTGAACGATATTGTTTTGCACATAAAAACAAAATTTATAGATGACATATATTTTCGTATATGGTTATCTATGTAAATGATAACTATTTAGATCATTTTCTATTTTTATAGTTATTTTTAGGTAAAATAAAAAAAAATAAAAAAAAAAAACTATTATTATTGTTTTCTTTTATTTCAAAATGGGAACAAAACTAAAAACGTATGGCACATCCGAGATAAAGCTAAAGTGTTAATCGTCAAATGACAAACGGAGCGTCCCACTGTTGACTGTGTCGTCAGCGCGTAGTTTATGGACGTAGGAAACAGGCGCGTGAGGGAAGGAACAGCGTATGCGTATGCTACCTGGAAGCAGTAAAATTTAGACCCTTTCCTTTTTAACGCCGTCACCCCACCACTTTTCATGCTTTTACATTATGCCCCTTCAACTTTTTAGATTCAATAAACAGTCATGTTTCGTCAATCTATTTTACATTTTTTATATCCCCAGAATTCGTATAATTTAGACGTCGACAAATTCTAGTTTTTTGAATAGCCAAATAACACATTTCCTATTATATAACATATATTATTGTAGAATTTAATATAACTATTTTATTTATTATATATTTTTATAGTTTTTTATGTCCCAAATAATGGTACACCGGTTTGGACCCACTATATCAGTGTAGATGAAGATTTATTTAAAATAACGCTACATTAAATCTAAAATATTTAGTAAAATAACGCTACTTTTTATATAACATTCATTTCTAATCATTTTTAAATTAAAATTTTCATTTTTCCATAATAGGTCATTAGTCACTGGATTTACTATTCTAATATTCATTGAATTTAATCAGCAAAAATAATTCCATATCAAATAAATTATGTTTTCAATTTCTTAAAAGTATTATACATACTTTTCTTTCATATTTAATACTATTATTATTGTGAAATCTAGGTAACTTATCATGGATTTGAATTTATATACCACTCAAAGTGTGCATCATCGTAGTTATATTATATAATTATTATTATTATTTCAATATTTATATTATTCTTATATTTAGGCAAATACATTTTTTATGACAACACCAGATAAACCTTTTGAATGTTTTATAATAGGAATAAAATAAAATATTATAATAAAAACTTAATAAAAAGATATTATTATTTTTTTTTATCCATGATACTTTCAAAAATAATTTTCTAAAAGGCCTAGCTCCTCACCAGTCACCACTACCAACATCATAATTTCTATTTTGACGAATTATTTTTGTTATTATGATCATCAGGTAGGTTTCTATGATGGTGATTTTACTTGATACAAAATTCTAAGTTCTGAAAAGAGTGAATGTGCATGAATCATGATAATGGTATCTACTAAATTTGATGATACCTATCAAAAAACATAAGCATCAACATAAAATGAATGATTATTTAACGAACAAGAAGCAACAGAAGAAAAACATTGTCTATTGTCTGCTCCAAATCATTTCATAGCCAAATGGGCGGAGGCTCATTCAAATCTATACCCAATCCACGTCTAACTAGCCCCAGAAATCCCACCGTTTTGACGTCAGAATCGTCTGCCAACGAGAACTCACCGGAGCCTCCGGCGGAGGAGCAGCACCCACCACCATGGCGGAAGTCTTTGAGGACACTAGTACGAAGGAACTTAAACTCACCACCACTGACTACATATCTGGAAGGCTGTTCAGCAACCAACCGGATGTGTTGTTCGGACGGGAAGTTGTTGAGGTTTAGAGACAACGACGGTGGCGGTGGTACTGGAGGCGGCGGCGGCGGCATGGGAAAGTTTGTCTTGGCTTTAGGGCCACGAAGGGAGCGTGCAGCACCGTCGTAAGCCATTGCGGCTTCCTCCGGTGTATCGAAAGTTCCTAACCAGACACGAGCTTTCTTCCAAGGGTCACGTATCTCCGCCGCGTAACGGCCCCACGGCCGCTTCCTTACGCCCCTGTAGTGTCCCTCACGAGGAGACGCCATGAAAGTGAATCTTGAAAGTGGGTGGCTTTAAAGAGAGAGAAAGAGTGGGCGGAAACGGAAATGGATTGGATGTGTTTTTGTTTGTGGGTCAAATTAAAGAGTGTGAAAAAGCGGCAGCGGTGGCCCACCGATCACCGTAATCGACGGCTGGACGGCACACGTCCAAGATAAGCAATTATGGTATCCACAGCGGGATGGTTGGAATTAATTGTACTCTATGCATTAAATGTTGTAAATGATTATAGATTTGTAAATTTGAACTCTGGAAATGAGTAGCCTCTCTTTAGTATACCTCCTTAGGTTAGGGAACATAGATGATAGATGGTAGGGATTAGGGAGGTGGGGGTGGGGGCCTGGATTTTGTGTTGATTATTCTTTGATTCTCTTTTAATCGGCACCGTTGATTTCTGAATCATGGTTTTGTTTGTTTGGTAGGGTTTCGGTTAGGTTGTCGTTAAAGTTTGACTGAATTACAATTATTTGTATGTACGTATTAATTGTAGATGTTTGATAAATGTATTTAGCTTAGAAGTTTATGTTAAATTTTGAATTTTATCTTCATCTTTTATTTTCTCTATAATGAAACTAAGTTCGAGCGATAGAAACTCGGAAATAACACAAAAATAATATCTTCATCTTGTCTTTGGAATTAAATCGAATATCATAAAGCGTTATGAATACCAATATGATGTTTTCTCCTTTACCCAGGGTTCTTGACATTTGACAACACCTTAAAGAATGACACTAAATCTACTCACCCATGTGATGCGAGTCCAACCAGTGTAGGTTTCAGTGCCTAGGTGTCGAGCACTTGCATTGGATTAAGCTCCATATGTAGTGTTCTTAAAGTTCCCATCCGAAATGTTCATGGAGAAATAGAAAAGGTTCTCCTTTAAACGTAAAAGATAATCAATTACAAGTGGAATTCGCTTGCGAGACTAAGCATTATCAGAAAACATTATGCTGAAATGTCGCAATCTTGTGGCATCCACCTTCATTTCATATAATTGTTGTTCAATCTCCTTGTGGCATCATTTATTAACTTCAAAAAAATCCTTAATTAAGACCAAATCCTTAGAGTTATACGGAGGATCCAATGATATGAAGCGAGTAAACCATATACATTCACGTTCCTACCACCATCCTGGTAATTAACGATTAAAGACAATAGTTGAAAATGAATTTAAAGAGTGTTGTATAAAGTAAGGGTGTGTATCAAACCGCATAAACCGCCCGCACCGCACCACATAATACGGTTTAGAACTTTTGCGGTGCGGTTTGTTATATCGTTAAACCGCACTATGCGGTGCGGTTTGTATTTTCAATTACAAAGTCGCGGTTTAAACCGCACCGCATATATATATATATATATATATATATATATATATATATATATATATATATATATATATATATATATATATATAAAAGAAAGTTCATTGTTTCATCGCTAGGATTAATAAAATAGTAATAATTGTCTGATTACAAGTTCGTAAGAGTTAGAATGTTGGTATGGATAAAAATGGATATGTTAATTAGCCTTAAATTAGTGAATATAGTCATACAATAGGAATTAGTTAACAAATGTATTACAGAAAACAACTTGTTTTGAGTTTTTTGCAAAACATTTCTAGTTTCTAGTTTTATATCTCAAAAGATCAAAATGTTTTTTAGATTTTTCAAAAGTTATAAAATGTAGCAACTCATCAAACCTCAAAACCGCACTTAAACCGTACAAACCGCCCGCAACAAATCGCACCGCATAACGCGGTTTTGAACTTCTGCACTGCGGTTTACGGTTTCAAAAAAACTCAAACCGCATATGCGGTGCGGTTTGCGGTTTCGACTTTAACCACACCAAACCGCACCACGAACACCCTTAGTATAAAGTTTAAAACTACTTTTTTGACATTTTTTTTATGTAGATTCTAATAAAAATTTCAGAATTAAAAGTGTTGTAGATGACTCTATTAAGGGGGTGTTTGGCTTATCTTTTGAGAGACCAAAAGTCCTTTTTGGAAAAGTTGCAAAAAATCAGGTTTTACTGACTTTTCCAAAAAGTCAGTTTTCTTTATATCCAAAATCCAAAAGTAGCTTTTAAAATGTTTTTACCAAACATCTTTCGCCTTTTATCTTTTCCTAAAAGGACTTTTAGCATCTCAAAAGATAAGTCAAACACCCCCTAAAAGGTGTTTGGGCGTGCTTTTTTAAATGGTTTATGACTTATTGACTTTTCAAAAAGTCATGTGTGGTAAACGATAATTTTTCAGTAAAGAAAAATATTTTTTCAAAAAGCCAGGAATTATTGGCTTTTCCAAAAAGTCAATAATGAGTTTGAGAAACAATCCCAAACACGCCCTAATAAAATAGAGACCGTGGTTGATAATTTGGAATTTGTTAATGATGTTGATTGTTTTCCAAATGTTTTTATTACATATAGAGTCCTATTAACTATTCTTATAATTGTTGCATCTGCAAAAATGAGTTTTTCAAAGTTGAAGTTATTGAAGATTTACTTAAGGTGTTCGAGGTCACAAGAAAAGTTGAATGAATTGATTATTCGAATTTCACATGCTTCAACCTTTAAAAAATATATCTATTCACATTCCTAACTAAACTATGGACAAGAATATATGAAATAATAAGAGATTTGATTTAAGTTCCACATATATTTAACATGGATGTTAAGGCCGATTTTAGAGAACGAATTTAAACGAATTATTATTATTTTTTTTAATCTTTTTTTACAATTTTTATTGTGATTAGGATTAAGCCATTTAATGCTTAAGTTTATAACGCCAAGAGGTTGATGGTAAGAGTATTAGAGCATCTCCGATGAGACCTTATTTAGAGGTTCAAAAAATTGTTACATCATTATTGATCATCGTTGATACAAGGAAGTGACCCCTGCAATTTTGTGTTATGGATAGCTAATGTTAAGTGTTTTGGAGTAAAAGACCGATGGAATGGATGGAATAACAGTAATTTTATGAGAAGGCCACTGCAAGATAGTTGTCTTTAGCTTCTGTGTACTCTAGTTGAACATGTGCCTTGATATGTATTTTATTAAGATAATATCTTGTGTAGATATGTTGTCAAACGTATGGTGGTATGGTCTATGTTAGATCATCATACTTACGCATGCCCTTATCTTGTAAAATACTCATTCGTTTTACTATAAGTAAGGGTCTTAGGCTAAGATTGAAAGTGTGTCTTCAACTTTAATCTCTTACATCGATTAATGAAAGTGAAACATCCCACTCTTCATTAATAAGAGTAAGGAATCAAGGAAATGTAACAATAAAAATATTATGCACTTATAGTGGCAAAATCGTAATAAACCTTAAATTTTCTGTTTGTATGGAAGTAATACTATTTTGTTATGTTTGATGCATGGCTATATCTTGCACTGTGGTGGATGGAAATGGGAATTTAACATATTATAAGGGCTTAAGTGTCAAAAGGCCAATTTTCCATAGTCGTATAGTTTAGAATCCATAATTAGGGTTCTTATAACCCTAATTCACCACCCTCGGTGGCTCTAGCCTTAGAGAAAGAAGGTTCAAGGGAAGAGAAACAAAAAGGAGAAAACTTTGGTGATTTTTGGGATCTTGAAGCATGAAAGAGGAAAAGATGGAAGAGTCACATGGGCTTAGTGTTAATCATGACTTCTCTAGAGGTAATAACTGTACCCATGAACCCTAGTTTTTGTTTTCATGGCCATTAGGGAACTCGTTTAAAGGAATTGCATGCAAGTTAGGGTTTTATGGTGCTTTTAGGGCCAAACCAAATTATGAGACCCTTGGTCATCATGCCTTGATCATTGCACTCAAATAAGTCCCCAATGCAATCTTATTATGGTATGCATGGATTAAAAGTTGAATCAATTAAGGTTTATATGCTCGCAATAAACATAACGCATAAGGTGGACATACGTCGTGCGTAGTGTCATGGAATGTTGATGGTTTCTAGAATCATGATAGGAATACAATGCGTTCATGAGGTGGAACGTGACGTGTAAGATCAATAAGAATGTATGTTATGTGTTATTTTTGACCCACTTAGATTTGTCAGGACCCGTAAGTAGCTAGGATCATCTAGGAAGGTATAAATACCAATAGACACTCATTGTTTGTATGAATCATTGATAGGTTTCTTTCGGTATACTATAGATCTTCGGGTACTTATAGTCATGTTTCGAGTAATTGTTGAAACTGTAGACATGTGAGTTTCATTAACCTATATGTGTTATTGTATGTTACATGGTATGTTCTCGTGTGTTATGTTTACATGTTAACTTTTATCAGCCTTTCTCTTAAAAGATGTTAGAGGAATCAACTTACACCCTTGCTCTCGGAAAAGACAAGGGGTATCAGTTTATAGTCTTGCTCTCAAAAGGGACAAAAGGAATTTGTTACATGCTTACGTGTTATTTGCTTATGTGTGTATATAGTAAAATATAGATGTTGTGTGCTTACCATGCGTTTCACTTACTTATTGATATTTAACACTTTTCAGGACCCTCGGGGGTGGATAAAGGAAAGAATCCAGTATGATTGTCAAAGCATCCGTAATTTCTGATTTATTATTAAAACATTTAGCTTTCATTTTTTGAAAGTAAAGACTTCTATTAGTTTGTTCTGAATGTATGGAATTTGGGTTGTGGAGCAAATCAAAAAAATAAGATTTTAATTACCATAAAAATAATTTTGAAATTAGGGTTTTGAACCCTTGCTTGTTTGACAAGTTTCTTAACTTGTTCTACAAGTAAAGCAAATATGAAGATTTTTTCAAATTTTAGATATACATCTTTAATTTAAATATTGTTTATGATCACGATTATAAATTTGAATATTTATTTGAATTAATTAAAATATTATTTATGATAGGAATTATAAAATTGAATATTTAATTATTTAATTATTAACATTTCATAATCACGTTAATTCAAATTAGTAAACATATAAATTTTAAAAAGTTTATATATATATATATATATA